GTTCCATTATAAAGTATATCATGGCGTGTTCCATGAACTAAACCACACACATCTTAATCACTTTCAGCAAAGTAATTTTAAAATGAAATGGAGTAAAATGTGCATTGATGACGTAAATGGTTATGCTATAAGAAAGGATCCATTAAGTAATAATATCCAGACGTTTCGATTTCAGGAAATATCTAGCGAAGCTAAAACAGTTAAAATCATGTATACAATAGGTAGTCCCTTGTCAAAATGTACATTTATTGATTGACTGGGATCGCTCGAGTTTGTCGGATTTTAGTTTCAACATATTTAATGTGACAGCAATATTCACATACCTACCGTTTGTGATTGTATACTTGTATTTTAACTTGTATATTTCAAATGATGAGTGACACGGAAACAGTAGTTTTTAATGCATGCTTTTGTTGAATTGCAAACTACAATGTAACTGTAAACTCCCAAACACTGCAGCTGGTGACAAATAACATACATCATGTGACAGACTGCAGATGTTTCAAAGCAAAATCATATATATGTCAATTTAACCTACCATTCATAAAGTCTAGTGCACTATCAAGTAGGCATTAACTACATTCTGAAAGCCCATCTTACAGGCTGGTACACAGTTGTACAAAACGCCATGCAGGGAGTTATATGCTCAAACTGTTACATGTTTCAGTTCAGAGATAATGAAAATGCTGTTAAACCACATTGGTGGTCAGGGATCTTGCCGTGGTGACAAACGCAATGATGAAACACAACAATTTTGTGTTATTTGGCACAAGTCTCACAACGATCCATGCATTGTAACTGCCAAAATCGACACAGATCATGCACGGCACATTCACGACACAGATCATGCACAATAGGACATACAACATCTATAACAGAGTGTAGATGCAAGAACAAAAAGATCCGATACTCGAATCAGAGTTTATTATGACTGTGTCTGGTTACAATTTATCCTTGAAACATGAACATGATATCCTTCAAACGTTGACATAGACTGGTGAACGGTTGTACAACGAATCAGGCTGAGAACGGTTTCACAGCTGATCAGCATCGATGAAAACTGATGAGGTTAAAAAAACTACAATATAAGCAAAAACAATTCCATAATTTTCGCTCATTAATGCACTTTAAACTTATTTACTTTTGGTATTAATACACTCTACAATGCATATTGAAATTGTACAAGGACATATGGCTGACTGAACATTTGAACAACACTTCGTTGAACAAATTGTTTACCAATAATTCATCATTAATACAAATGATAATAATGCAATAAAGTTAGAAATGATATGAGTTGAAAGTAACTTACATTTGTTCCTTGACATGCAGTGATTCGCAGACAGTGAGGTGAAGCAACTTTCCAGCATGGTGGTCAGATACAGACTGATTTGCATGCTTTTCCAAACCATGTGCTTTCTTGGACTCGATAGTGAGTGACACAGGTAATCTGTTTGATGAAAAGATCATTTGGAATGATTCTCTTTCTGAAATATATGTTCATAATTTACAGGAACGGTTGTTGGCCTATGGTGAGAGTTTAAGCGAGACAATCGAAGTGAACGTGAATCATGCTATTGATGACTTTGTAAAGATTATAATAAACTCCGCGGATTGTATGAAAAAAAGGTTTTATTTAAACAGAACTAACAGGAAACGTCAGTCAACAAATCCACAATGCATAAATGCAAAACGAGCAGCGCGCAGAGCCCTGAGGCAGTTTAGAACTAAGCACACTGATTATCACCGCGCAATTTATTGTAGACAGAGGAATGCATATAAGACTTGTTGTAGAAAATATAAATCTGACCTCGCTAAAGTACGACTTGATAATCTTTGTAAATCTTCAAAATCTCCTTCAAAATTTTGGAAACCAATACGATCGCTACAGAATCGGGAAAATATAACTTCTCCTATTTCTAAATCTGAATGGCTCGGACACTTCAAAAATATATTTGCAAATACTGATATATTCAACAACAATGCCACTACAATTGAAGATGATACCATATTCTCCGATTACGATGATAGCGTTGATGAACAAGTTTTAGATTCTCCAATAACAGAAACGGAAATAAGGGAAGCTATAAGACATTTAAAGAGGGGGAAAGCAGCTGGGCCTGATAATGTTATTATAGAAATGTTAAAATGTTCGCAAAATGAAACAATGCCTTTTGTTATAAAATGCTTCAATTACCTTTTTAACAGCGGTACTTTTCCAGCTAGCTGGTCACGTTCTATCATTATTCCCCTGCATAAAAAGGGAGACTCTAGTAATCCAGATAATTACAGGGGAATATCTCTAATGAGTTTATTAGGGAAGATACTTACAACAATACTGAACAATAGGATATCCCAATGGGCAAATATGCGCGATAAAATTCCAGAAACACAAGCAGGGTTTAGAAAAAACTACTCCACGACTGATCATATCTTCACTTTATGCAATTATTCAAAAATGTCTATCACGTAGAAAACATAAATTATATGCTGCATTTGTAGACTTCAAAAAAGCATTTGATACAGTTGATAGGTTCAAACTTTGGAACTGCTTAAGAGATACTGGTCTCAGGGGCAAAATGTATTCCATGCTGAAGGAAATGTACTCAAACATAAAGTCCTGTGTCCGTTGTGAGACGGGTACAACAGACTATTTTGATTGTCCTTTAGGTTTGCGACAAGGTTGCATCCTCAGTCCCATCCTATTTTCATTTTTTATCAGTGAATTATATAATGATATTGTTTGTTATGGAAAACATGGTATTCAACTGTTCCCGGATTACCTGGAAATTTTAATGCTTCTCTTCGCAGATGATGTGATTTTACTATCAGATACGGTGGTGGGATTACAACGACAACTTAACATTCTAGATAATTACACTAAGGAATGGAAACTCTCAGTAAATCTTGACAAAACCAATGTAGTTATTTTTCGGAAGGGTGGTCACATTTCTCAGAAAGATAAATGGTTTCTTGGTAATCAACTTGTGAAAACAGTTGATTGTTACACATACCTCGGTGTTCGTTTTTATCATACCTTCAATATGAAAAAAAGTGTTTATGATCTCTCCCTACGTGCTAAGAAAGCTCTTTTCCAGTTAATACCGGTTATTTATAAGACTGGAATGTTAACACCAGGTCTATTTTTCAAACTTTTTGATGCCCAAATACAACCAATTTTATTATATGGTTCAGAAATATGGGGATTTCAACGTTTCGATTGTTTAGAAAAAAATACATTTATTAGCATGTAAAAGATTTTTGGGAGTTGGATCGTCAACAACAAATATTATGGTGTATGGGGAGTGCGGGAGATACCCACTTTACATAAATTCACAGATAAGATGTTTAAAATACTGGTTTAAAATTCTTAAAATGCCTAACCATCGTATTCCAAAACTGTCCTATAATATGTTGGTTCATTTAGATAGTATTGGCAAAGTAACGTGGGCTTCAAGTTTAAGATATTTATTATTTTCTCATGGTTATGGGTATGTCTGGTTAAACCAAACTGTTGGTCATATCGATGTTTTTATTAATGATTTTCGCAATCGAGCTATTAATATGGATCACCAGGAATGGCAATCACGTTTGAATAATAGCACACCCTATGATTGTTACAGGACATTTAAAACTTTACTACAACCAGAAAAATATTTATCTGTACTTAGGTGCAACGATTTAAGGTATACATTTCTACAATTCAGACTAGGTTTGCTAAATTTAATGGTAAATGAAGGAAGAAAAATGTCCATCGAGAGGAATCAAAGAATCTGTCCATTATGTAAAGAAGCAGTAGAAAACGAAATTCACTTCACCTTTATCTGTAAATCTTATGCTGACATTAGAAAGAAATATATACCGGAGTATTACCTGTCAAAACCCCCCGATGTAGCTTTTAAATCTGAGATTCAAATGTTAAATTGGCAAGGTAAAGTTATGAGGATTCGCAATCTTAATTTCACTTTATTTGATTTACTTTTTTGTTTAAAGTGAAATTCATCGGTACGTTTTCACTGCTAACAGAATATAACTGCAACGATGGTCAATTTATTAAAAAAGGTTATCCAGGGTAAACATGACATACATACAGTTGCTGGTCTTCTTATAACTTGTGACGTAATATCAGATGAAAGGCAAGACTTGAAGCCTATAAACTGCTAACATCAAAAAGAGGCAATGGCTTGATGTCTGTCTGCTTTGCCACACACATGGAGCTTGGAGTTTAATGAGGTCTCGTGAACACTGATCACTAATGCATTAGCATGTGTGAGAACTTATGTGAAAATAACGTGTCAGAAATTAATTCTGGAAACCTAGCCCAGGAACTCACCGCACTGTGGCCAGATTCAACTGATTCATTGACGAAATTCAGCAATCATGGATAAATAAGGATGATAAAATGGACAAACAAATTCGGGAACTAAAAATTTAAACTATCCCGCCCATGGGCAGGCGTTTTTAAATGCAATCGTGATTGATGTGGTTATAATTGTCAATGATAATGAAAATTAAATAAAATAAATTAAATAAAAATACAATAAAATAAAAATAGAAACATAAAACATAAAAATAATTATTACAAAAAACAACGACCCCAGACTATGGCTGTCCCTAGCACTCTTTCACCTACGAGGAGATGGTCGTGTTCGTTCAGTTGGGGCTTGACATATCACGACGAATCGGAGTAGCATATACAGATATATAAATACATATAACAGGTAAAAATCAATCAGAAAATAGATTTCGATAAATACTTTATTTCAATTAATACAACTAACACTTTACCTCATGAAACCATTTCCAGAGTTTGTGAAAAGAGCGAACTCAGAGGTAAATGTAGAATGAATGAAAGAATGAATATTGCTTTACGTTGAAACATTACCTTTTCAGCTATTCGCAGCGAGAACCAAAGTGAGTGAGTGAGTTTAGTTTTACGCCGCTTTTAGCAATATTCCAGCAATATCACGGCGGGGGACACCAGAAATGGGTTTCACACATTTTACTCATGTGGGGAATCGAACCCGGGTCTTCGGCGTGACGAGCGAACGCTTTAACCACTAAGCCATCCACCGCCCCGAGAACCAAGGTAAGCGATAGAACTTCCACGCCAAACAGGTTTCAGTAGTCATAAAAGGAAAACTAGAGTTGAAAATTTAATAATATACACAATATCACTGATATACAAGTTGACAGGTTGTGAATCATACGTCTCTTCCTGCTGACTCTTCACTTTGTGCTTTTAAGGACGCCTACTCCAGCGGTTTTCTCCCCAATAATATGGCTACTGAAAACAGTGCTGTTAGTCTTGGGTGTTCATCTTCTGAAGACCATCCGTAAAACCTTCTGAGGCTGAAAATGCAAACAAAACACGTCACTCGTACAATGGGTTTATGCATTTATATGTAGCATATGGGAGCTATATATATTTACATATTTACAATATTCAATAGACGTTTTGATTAGAATAGGTCCATAGCTACATATAAATGTTGAATGCTTCGACAAATGAATAACAACAGGGGCGGTTGGGCTCGGTGACATGGTCCATATTGCATTTTGTAGGCGCACGGCGTGAGTCGATATTTACTCATTCTGGCATTAAATGTATATGTGGTTGGCGACAAAAAAAAGCCCGTACAAACAAAGATGTTTTGTTTGGTGTCGTATATCGTGATGATCATACAGAAAATCAAAGTGAGCCAGCAACGTTATCCACATGGTATTATATTCCCTACAGGGACAGGAGGAACCAAATTGTCAGCTTTCATGATCTATCAACGTTTGGAGACAGTTAAACTTTGGATACATATATGTACTTATGGATGTGTACGGTCATGGGCAGTGTCTGATCAGCCGAACCAATAAGTCTCTTTGTAAGGCAAGCATAGATACATAGGGACACATTCGAACTTGTATGTTCATCGAACTTGTTATTACTCTGCTTACTTTGCCTCCAAAGCATTGAGACTATCACAGTCCGGGAACACCTTCAGACGTTTCTGCCAAACGGACGTGGACTGAAAAAAATCACACAGTTGTTCAACTGTCCAGTCCATCTCCAACGTCACCGTATCTCTGGAATAACAACCATTATACAATCAACGTTGAACTAACGGTACACTTCCGCCTAATGTACAACGGTCACTAAGTCATATAAGCCACTTCACCACAATAAGGGGTACCAAACGTCATGCCAACATACCAGCAAGGCACGACATCAGTAATTTGAATGTCTGGTCCAGACACTTGCATTATCTCAATATTATAGCCATTTGCATTTTTGACTAGTTCTATAAATCTATAAGTCGGTACCCAGCGACCAATGTTGGTCGTCAGACGTGACAGAAACGACCTGAGGGCCGACTCTGAAGCATAGTTAACTGCATTCCCTTGTTGGCCAAACTTCATTCAGTTCAACACTTCATACAACATTCATTCAGACACACCAGATCCGGGGTAGAATAGGTCTTCAGCAACCCATGTGCTTGCCATAAAAGGCGACTATGCTTGTCGTAAGAGGCGACTAACGGGATCGGGTGGTCAGTTTCGCTGACTTGGTTGACACATGTCATCGGTTCCCTATTGCGCAGATCGATTCTCATGCTGTTGATCACTGGATTGTCTGGTCCAGACTCGATTATTTACAGACCGCCGCCATATAGCTGGGATATTGCTGAGTGCGGCGTAAAACTAAACTCACTCACTCAGACACACCAAAGACAATGAGACTTAACATATGCAAGTCGTGAAATTGTGTTGTTTCATCATTTAAAGAGAGGGGTAAAATGAGAAAATACCTCTGCGAATCCTTAAATGGAAGTTTAACATCTTTGTAGCCGCCAATCGACATCAGGTTGCCGGCATGGTAGAACTCCGCCAAATATGTCGAGATAAACTGAATGGGAAAGCGTCCAATGTGTTATAAAATGTAAATAAATGCGTTAACATTTGGTATCGGATCGGCTACTATGACAATTATAACCCTTACAACCTATGCTATTCTTTATGCGATTAAATCGACAGGGTGACTTTGTGTCAGTTAGCTTGTGACTACGGCGTTTAATAACGAACGATGGAAATCACTCATACGTGACTGAATGTCAATATACAAATTGTGCCGGTTCTTTCATTTCTTTCAATACCTTTTCGAGGATTTCCTTGGCACCAGATTCCCGAAGTGACGGCCAACCATAAGTGTAGACAGCCAAACAGCCACCAGGCGACAGCACCCGCTCTACTTCCGTTAAAAACTCCGGCATATTAAACCAGTGAAAGCTACTGGCAGCAGTAACCAAATCTACTGAATTTGGATCAAGGAACGACAAATGTTCCGCCGTCGACTGTCTGAATTCCAAATTTGCCACATTTTTAGGCGCTTGTTTCAACTGTTGCTCACTGACATCCAGACCGATAACTTTCTCAAAACGGCCCACCAAAGGGAGAGTACTCTGATGTCCTGTTCCGCACGCCACATCTACTGCCAGCTTGAATTTTCCGCTGCCGCCTTGACAGAATTTGAAGATGAGATCAAACACTTTGTCAGAGTAGCGAGGTCGAACCGCAGCATAGATCTTTGCTTGTTTTGCGCCCTCGAAAAAACGCAGACTCATGGTCTTTTGCACGCTCACACAGACACGATACAGGTGATGTGACAACAGCGATATACATTCACACCAGTCCTTCAGCCTACTCGATGTGATCATGCAAGTATTCTGTTCAAACACACATACTGAACATATCCGCACTGTGCATTAGTACAAAGGCGCAAGCGTCGCGGCTCAACAATTTGGGTCACGGAAACGCATGGCAGCGTTCATGCTATAGAGACCATTACAGTCTATAAACGTTTTAGTGCGGGAACAACAGACATCACGTGTCAATTATTCACCAATACCTCTACGTTCCCACTTCAATGAATAATAATCATAATGGTTTCAACAAAGAAAGTGGATAGACATATATACTGAATATAATAGGCCCTTACATAAGCGATGATTTATTGCGTGGAATCCTAACAGTATCCCATGATCATAATTTTTAAACTTATTAAACTTTAATTAATACACATAGTCTGTCAGCACCAAAGTACTCAACTCAAACAACGGCCTTGGCCTTCCATATGAAACCTATCTTAACACGCTTTCACATGAAACATATGTGTGTCCAGCAACCTATGCTTGAGGCAAGAGGAGTCTATTGTTAGATTCGTTGACATGGTTGACTGCATGTTCTCGTATCCCAGATGTACAGATGTCAACACATGGACTGCGGATTATTTACAGACTGGGGTCACATAGCCGGAACATCGCCGATCACATAGCCGGAACATCGCCGATCACATAGCCGGAACATCGCCGAGTGCCGTGATAGACAACAAACAATAATTGTGGAATATACAAAAATACTCACATTACCTCGTGTTATTTGGCAGTAACAGTTGTGGGTATATTTCTGATGACTGACAGCAGTGATGATTAGAATGTGTATTAGACAAGAACATACTTGAACCTGACGACTATAGACTGTAGACGTACATGACTAGACAAGGATTTATTTCTAAAGTACTGTCGGAAATAGAAAAAAACTGTTTTTAGGCTCTTACTCTGTATCCCTAAAATTTACACAACTGCAAATAGCATATGTCGAAATAACCCACTTCGGCCTAACTTGGCATTCAGTGGGATGCGTATCCAGAAAAGCATGTTTACTCGTAAAATCGGGCAAAAAATACGAATAGCTGCTGAAAACAATAGATCAGACTATATAATTAGGTCGCTCAGCCAGGTATGACGACGGACCGTCGACTCACCTGGCATGAAATGCATGTGCTGCTTACAGGCGCCCAAGGGGTCATCTCAAAGATATTTTGTGCTTTTTCATGTGTGTTGACTATGCCTCATCTATTGATTAACAGCTTAAGTGTCTTTCTTTCATAAAGTTTATGTTGAGATATGTAAAAGAGTTTGATACCTGATAACCATAGAAATGCATCGTATTAAATGTCTCAAAATATATAGGTGGCATGACAACCCGATCGCGAAGATCGACAGGACTGGATATTATTTGTAAATTGTTATGACATGCCGTGTACTTCCCCAGTATAATTGCCCTAAAGGATTATCGTATCTTAGCTGATATCTCTATCCCCAAGCCCGACCCCAACGATCGTCTGCGACACCCGTCCAGGTTTTGCTTTTGAGACGAACCCTCCTATCTGTTTCTTTTTATAGTGACAGTGAGACTCCATGGTAGCTACATCCTTAATAATTTCAGCATGAAAGTTATTATTTTTACGCCATCGTTTATAATGAAGCTACGTCTAATTTCAAATTGGTCACTTGAAAAGTGTCCTTTATAATACAATATCTTTGGACTTAGAAAAAAATCGCATTGCTCATTTCTGCACTAATTTCTCCTCAGTAAAGTCCTATTTCTATGTTTCCTGTGTCCCTACCATTGAGACTGTAGTTAGGCCGAACTTAGTTTAAGAGATGTTTCACACTTGCACATATCAACTACATAAATTGTAGAGATAAATGAGAAAATACAGTTTTTTTTTCTATTTCCGACAGTACTATAGCTTGTATCTATGTATTGGAAAGGTGCACTTATAAATTGACATTACAACAAATAAAATATGGTTATACCAAAGGTACTCAAAATACTTGGGACTGGGAACTATGCGTCGTGGTTCTCCAGCAGGACATCCCTAGTTCGGTGATCAACCTTCAGTTGTTGGCGATCTACAGGCTGGTTTTATATTGTGTTATCTTACCTCACACATACATGTCGCTTTCTGATTGGCTGAGCGCTCTTCTATTATTTTCAATGTACCCCGCTAACAAGCGAGTAACATTTCAATGTACCCCGCTGTCAATGGCAGCTCATTTGGTACTTCGTAGTAGTAATTCTTTATCTCGAATTACATTAAATCACGTATGATGTACGGAAATTTACCTATGTTTTGCGAATGCAAATCGATGGAAGGGAGATAACTCTAAATCTGTTTTTCTTGTCAGCAAAATCTAGCGATGGCTACAAAAACATCTGTACCCGTGCTTCAAACGCTTCAAAATTAACATCAAGTTGTTCGGTAAGATAAATACGTTGTTCACTGGTCCCTCGGGACCCATGGGTTGATGTACCCTCGATGTTCCCCTGCGGTTCCCCTCGCCTTTCGTGACCAATGAACAACTTATATTGTCCTCTATAGTTAAAGGTCACATGCAACCAAAACATCAAACATAATTAAAACACAATTATCACTTATTCATGACATATAGTATACATTGCTGATTATTAAAAAAACATAAACAAAATTATAAGCGTACAATCGCAAATCAAAAGTGCAATATTTTGTACTTGGGTTTACTTCCCTCGAAACGAAGCACCCGGGATACCGAACCCAGTCAGAGCGGGTGGGTGTGCACTCAAGTGTAACGGCTGATTCATTTGCCGATGCCCTCACGGCTCCTTGTGTGTGTGTATATACAGATGTTGGATTTTGTAAATACATGCTCATTTTTTTGTGTATAACATTTTGCAATCAACAGACATCATAACATGTCATGTGTACAAGTATCACACCTGCCTGTCTGTGTAATTACAAAATGTGACAATGCGTTTTGTTTATGGTGTGTAGCCTGATTGGTGTTAAGATCAAATTGCATGTGGTCAGTGATCGAAGTTGTGTATTGTGTATTGAATATTGTTATTAGCAGACAGGCAGGCAGACACATAGGTGTCAATAAAACAGACATTGAGTTTTGTCTGTGACAACGACATCTCTATATCACAGTTAAAAATTCTGTCAACGCTAAATAATGACATTGCTTTTAAGTATCAAACTGAAAAATATGACTCGGTAAGAAGTACGTGTGGTGAAATAGTCAAATGAAATTATATGAACAGTTAAATCGGTAATCTACTGTCATCACATATAAAAAGCTCGCGCCTGAGAAATAACTTATAAAAAGCTCACGCCTGAGAAATATCAACAAAACAATAGCTCACATCAAAGCCTCCCGACTCCGACTACTCGCCGCCAGGAAAGGTTTTCCGTCTTGAAATGTCGAACGCCTCACCGGTTGACACATAGATGAGTAGATTTAGATCCTTACAAGGTACACAACCTGCTCACGACCGTATAATCCGGGCATGCATCGTGTTTCAAGCCCCGCGAACCTATTCAGTGCGCATGCGTTAGGAGCGCAGCGCAGCATAGAAGTTGAAACCACATCTTTCCCCAAGCTCTGGGGTAAAATTAGTGAATCGTTTGAACTCCGATTTTGCGCGGTTTGTTTCATCGCGTTATTTTTCAACTTTATAAGTTGTATTTGCATTTTTGATGATTTGTTTCGGTAAGTCCATACCGAAAGGTATCAGAATCTGCAAAGTTGTGTTTTACGTTGCATGTGACCTTTTAAATCTTTTTGATTTAATTACTGCTTTTACATTCCTATCTTTGATAATCTTGTTATTTTACTGTCCTTCGTCGACATGATTTTTAAATTTTATTCCATTTATTATCAATTTATGACTTTTTGGCTGAAATATTGCCGATGTGACTATAAATCTTAACTCACTCACTCGCTCCAGCAGGACTTTAACTATTCCTCTGGCGATCTCATCCGACACATGCTAAATATGTCACTAAACAAATACACTGCGATCACACCTGTGCTGGATACAAGGCTGGGACATCCTTGAATGCCGTGGTCTTTCGAAGTCTCTTGGGGTAAATAGCTCTGCACTTCTCCAAGCCCTCTGAGGTCACAACCACGATTTGCGTCATTTGATATGTTTACAGTCAGAATTAAATGAGAACGTATGATAGTAAGAAGATATGTTATCGGCGAAACCTCAGTAGGTTATATTGCATGCATTTCATACATATCTATTTCGGTGTCCCACTTCTTATGTCATCGTATCCCAATTGCGTAGATCGACGCTCATGTTGTTGATCACTGGATTGTCTTATTTATAGACCGCCGTCATATAGCTGGAATATTGCTGATTGCGGCGTTAAAGAACAAACCATCAAACCAACTGACGACCAATTCTAACCCGGATCTTCACGGGTAGTTGGACTGTGAATGATGTTAGAGGTAAACCATGTTACATCGAACGATTTTCTAAGTCAACAGTATTGTGATCACGATAATCAAATGTCTATTTTAATTATAAAGACTGCTGGATGTACGTTATGCGATGTTTTTCCTTTTGTACAGGTAACGAAATATTTTCCAATAACCTTATGTGAAAGAATCCCATCTCGTGGTTATTTTCGACTCCTAAATTGCTGTGGTTTGCAAAATATACAATTGTGTTAATGAAACTTTTAGATTGATTTGATCGACAGAAACTGAAGGTAAATATTACTGTGCTTACATGGGTACACAGTTATTTTGCTGCCTGCATAACCCAGTCTCAATACCAGCTTGTGTAAGCATTCTGCTGCAGCTGGCCAAATAAGGCCACGTCCCGAACTAGTATTACTTTCTTGGTATGATCCGTTTATGGAGCATACGGTGTTAGAATTTTCACTTAAGAATTTAAACACTGCCTACAAATGTTTGAATAAAATGCCTATTGTTCCTAAAACTTAAATCTGAAAAAGTTCAAGGTCACAGCGAAAATTTCGCGCAAATTATAACTGACATTTTCTTTTATATGCCCTATTCCGTATAATAAATATGGTTTGACTTAGATTTCTTTGAGAAAAGT